GAGTGAGCATTAGTCAACAACAACAACGGCGAAGAACAAAACTCTTAAAGGAAAGATTCCTCAGCTATCTGTTTCAAGACGGGTAATTATCTAGCAATAATAACAGGACTAGAACTATCTGTGCAGAATGATCACTGAGGGAAAAACTAAGTTTTCTAGATTTTAGTTTCAATTTCGCAACAAATCTACCGATAATTTTTATACGTATAATGCTAGAAAGGGACAAAAGGGCAAATTATATTTTGTCTGAAAGCTTAATATTCAATAAATTTAAGTGTCATCTAGGCATCAAGAATTACTAGCGTTTTGGAATTTGTTTGCAAGCGTATGAATAATATCTAGTCTGCAAAACTGCTAAGTCTATGAAAAGCTATCACAAAGTAAAGCAAGAGTCTCTGTTTCAAGGATCGTCCATTTTGAACGGCATTTCTTCCCAAACTGAAGTTCTCTGAAGCTTAAAATTTTATAATTTTTTTTTCAAAATTTCATCATCAAATGAAATAATACCATTACCCGCTTCTTTTATTATTGCGACTTTGGTGTAAATCACGAATCGAAGTTACTCCAGTCTTGCCTGTAGGCAAATCCATCTTTCCAATTGCAGATGCAGTGCACCAAAAACAGATGTGTAAATCATTCAGAAACAAGTCTTTCCTTTGTAGGCTTTTGGAATGGCTTCACTGAGAACGTCGTAAAATAATAAAAGAGTCCGGTTGTAAGCTTTCGGTCCCCAAAACATCTGTCCGCATTAATTTGCATGCATGCTTTAATTATTCTTTTCCCGAAGCAGATGCTTGGAAGTTTATTATGGATTACCGTAACACACCCTTTGCGCCCATGGTTTTAGACACTATTCTCAAGTCAAAAGCAATAATGCCACGATAATATTGTTTGTTATTTGTAAAATTGAGTTTTTATATCTACGACCCTAAGAAAAAAACAGCTCTAATTGTAACATAAAAAATTCAGTATTAAAGAGCAAACGCTAACAATATTGGTATTAAAGAGGCTCAGTTAGCTGCTTGAAAGTTTACAAAATCATGGAAATAAAAAATTAAATTCCATTGTATGGGATTAGCAACTGGTTTTTGGATTACATTAATTCATGTTCTTCGCAGCTTAGAAGACGTGGTTTATTGAATAAGGATTCAAGAAGGAATATATTTTTGTTTTAAGTATATGTGTATATTACATTTTCAGAATTGAAAAAAAAAATATGTATGTAAACGGACCGTTGTGTTAAAGAGATGGAGAATTATTTTAAAAAATTACAAATTCTGGGATTCTGCGAAATTTTCAGGGAAATGAATGGATGAAATAAACTTTTTTTTTTCCCTTGCACGTTACTGAAGATTAAATATACGAGTATTAAACCCGTACGTCCCTAATTTCATAATACTGTCAAATTATAATATTGCAGAAAATTTTCTTGTGTAGATTTCATGATTATTAGTTAGCTTTAGCTGCTTAAAGTTAATTATTACTCTGTACAAGGTAATTATTATATTTAAAAAAACTCTTGCCAAGTATTTTGGAAAGTAAACTTGTTCTTACAGATATTTTGGATGATGATTTCAAAAAAGACCTTGTAAGGTATTTCTCCCGCCTTCTTGGCATGCCTTCGTGGTATGGTGTGCACGCTGGCCGCGTATTCCAGAGGTCCGTGATTCGATTCCCGCCGAAGGCGTTGCATCTATTTCATCATTCCCGCTTCCAAATAACCTAAGGCTCTACAACCTTTGGTTTATCTTTATTACCTTTAATTTTGGGAGTCTGGCATTGAAGAATTCTTGAATAAAGCCAATATATGCAGAAAACCTAAAACTGATAGCTCCACACGTAATATAATTTCTTTTACACATTATTACAACGTATTAACTGAAGCCTGTTCCAATATCTCGTTCTGCCGTTCTGAGTCAAAGGGCCACCAGTGGCCGCGTGGTAAAGTCGCTGAGCACTGGTAGTTCAGCCCGAGGTTCGAATCTCACGAACGGGCTTGCTGCACGGGCGTTTTTGTGGTTTTCTCCATGCACAATGTGTATACAAGCCAGTTTCCCTTAGAGAGTCCCCGAGGAAGGCATCCCTCCCTTAGGCTGATAGCTCTCGAAACTTTGCTGTAATCACATAAACCTAATTGTTCTGAGTCAAAAGTACGAGATAATATAGTTCTGGAGGAAGTAAATACGGGAACATTAATGGGTGATTTGCGTAGATCCTAAAATGGTGAACTCGCTTCTTAGTTAACGAAATGGATATACAAAATAGCCGTAATTTTTATAACTTCATTGCAGCTGGGCAAAACCGATAAAAATTGCCCTGATATCATATATTTTAGGTAGTGTCGATTAGAGAATTTCTGATAATTTTGAATAAATAAAATTAGTACTTTAGTTGTTTGTCAAGTAAGCTGAATGGAGCATTCTGAAAGCTGATCGCTGGAATGTTAAATGAATCTCGAAACATTTAATGTTTTTTTATTGTTTTGCCTACTGATCTTTCATTTTGATTGTTAAAACCTTTCTTAGCAAATGTAATTTAAAAAACCTGCTCATAGTTTAATAAGATTATCTCAATGCCGTTATCAGAATTCTTTGCTTTCAATAGCTGCTTAGATCGGTTCCCAAAACCTTAGTGATTTAAGTGCAAAGCAGAACATGGAAAAATTCAGAATAAAAACATTATAGAAGAAAAATCTCATATATTCTCAGAATGATCTCTAAAACTATACATTGGCCGTGCTGTATAACTGTGGTTAAAATTAGTATTAGTTTTGATAGTCCCACAAATGTGTCTGAAAATATGAGTAAATTTTAAGACAACAGTCTATGTGTTGAACGGGTGGTTTCAATGAACAGTCATTAAATTTAACATTCTACCTCTCTTAAATGGTGAAATATTTTTTATTTATTTATTTATTTATTTATTTACCGCACTATAACAGATTTTAACACGGGAAAAGTAATCTTGAATTTTTTTTCACAGTTCCTTAAAATCGGAAAATAAAATTTTTTGTTTTCGTCATTCTTCTTTTACTCATGATGAAAGAAGTTAACGAGTTTTAACTTTTATCTTACCGTAAATAGTTGATTTGAAAAATTCTGCCTTTACGAAACTGCGACTAAGATTGAATTTTTTTCAGTGTAAGAACTATTTTGCTTTTGGAACTATGTTATCAGATTGATTTATATGCCTTTGGATCTTTGTGTCTGGAATTATACTTACTTTAGCATATTTCTGAAAGCTCACATTTTTATGAGTCTATGTTTGAAGTCATAAAGCATGATTTTTCATGTTGGAATTTTTTGTATATTTTAGAACAGTGGTTTCAAACCGGCTTGCAGACCGTTTCCAACCTTAGCAGCAATTTTACAGTGCCCGCGAATACTTTCCAGTTATATATTTGTTGTAAATATGTTGCTTATTATTTTGCAGAGATATGGAGATGCAGAGATATCGACTGAATGTATGTACCCCACTGCTGTTGAAGAGAAAAGTGAGAGAATGGAGTGGTTGGGTTTGTGCTTGTATGGCAGGCAGTGTGACTGGGGTCAGGTGGTTTTAGAACTTCCTACGACAGTATATTAGTAAATGTAGTCCGCCAGCTAACAGTTGTTAGCGCTTTAGCATTTAACATTCTGGTGTTTTGTTTTCTTCCTTCCCTGTTGAACTGAATCTTCTGATATATACTTCCCTTGAGTCAACCATTAGTTTAATTTGATACATAAATGGGGGCAAACTAAGGCACGGCTTGGAAAACCTATTTATTTGTTCTCGTTTATAGATCTACATTTTATCAATACCTATTATTTGGAATTTTGCATAATTTTTTTATGTTTCTTTGATACGAAAATTCATCTTTTTGAATGAAAATTGTAAATAAAATTATAGTCAGCTATTAAATTAAGCGATTAAATTGCACAGGTCATGTCTTTAACAAAGGATTAAAAAGAAAAAATAATCGATGAAGAAGACCAATTTTTTTTAAGATAAATAGAAAATTACTTTTGTAACGTTATGCGCAATAAAACTGTACATTCTATTTGTAATAATCTCAAAAAGATGTTTATTTTTTCTTCAAGGCTATAGTCTTTACCAGACTTGGAAGGTCATCAAGCGTCAAGTTATCATAACAAACCTGCAAGAAATTTCTGTTAATATTAATTTATTTCCTAAACAATATTGATTAATTGATTATATTATCTCCTAAGTTCAATATTGTTTAGGAAATAAATTATTATTAACTTACTTTTCAGCAATTGCGCAAGTAGTAGTAATTTGTTTTCGAAATGAATTTAAGATCATACAAAATTATATATATATATATATATTATAATAATAACAGTCATACAATTAACAGAAATTTAACTATAAAATAACTTTTAGATTTCAGGTAAAAAATAAGTGTCTATTTAAATTTTTTCTTTGCGTTATTTACTATTGTTGTTTACGCGTGTTTTGGTAAATATTTAGGAACTGAAATCGAAAATACATTGAGATATTATTATTTCGTTATATTTTTGAATTTTGTGTAAAAAATTTAATTTAAATTTTATTCAAAAATAAATTCAGGTCCGTCATCTGCTTTTAAGTCGTGCATTTGGCCCACACGCAGTGTGAAACTGTTTTAGAATATGAGATCCTATAAGGGAGTCAAAATGTTGTACTTCAACAAATGTAAAATATAACTGACTATAGTATTACTTTATTATTCTTATGCGTACTTTAATCATTTTTTAATTACTAAGCTAGCTGAATGACTCCAAAATAAATCAAAAATAATATTACTGCTTTTTTTTTTTTTCGGATTTTCATCTGCTTTAATGCAATAAAGTAGCAATTGCAGTGAAGTAAGTAATTTTATTTAATTGCTGAGAAAGATCGTAGTCGAATTCATTTACAAAGTACCATGCATAGGAAGGGCATTGCTTTTAAAAAATTGTGAAATTTTGATTGTTTATTTTTTGTCGCTGATTCTTAGAATTTTTTTTTTCCTTCCACAGATTCGAGGCGCTACAGTTGAGCTTCAAGAACATGTGCAAGTTAAAGCCTTTACTCGCCAAATGGTTAGAGGAGGCGGACAGTACGACTGGGTCGCCCACCTCCATCGACAAGATAGCCGCTCAGGGCCGTAAACGTAAAAAAAGGACAAGCATCGAGGTGTCCGTGAAGGGCGCCCTCGAGAACCACTTCCACAAGCAGCCCAAGCCATCCGCTCAGGAAATCGCCGGACTGGCGGACAGTCTTCAATTGGAGAAGGAAGTAGTCAGGGTCTGGTTTTGCAACAGGCGGCAGAAGGAGAAGCGCATGACCCCACCTGTTAACATCGGGGGCGCCGGGGGGCCCGGCACCCCTGGAGAGATGATGCTCACACATAGCCCCCCCGGCCACGGCTCCCTCCATTCGCACAGCCCTCCGATGCTGTCCCCTCATGCGCCGCCCCAGAACCATGGTCCCCAGTCGCACAATATCCACGGTCAGTCCCTTACGGCCCACTGACAAATAGCCCCCTGCTTCGTCCTTCCGAATACAGGGCATCACCACCCCCTCTATGACTGAAGTGTTCAGGAAGCGAAATGCCAGCACTCCTTATATATAAAAATACAAATATATATTATATATATTGTACATAGAAAAAGAGAAACTGACCACCTTGGTTAGAATTACTGCGATGTGAAACGGACGCTAATGTTCATGTACTGTATGTAAAGAAGATGGACATGTTGTGGTAACTCTTCAACACATATAAATAATACATATATATATATATATATATAGTGCCAATGTTGTCCTTTTTTCACCACAGACATTTTTTTAAATAATTCACCATATGCCATCATCAAGTCATTTGTACATTTGAAACTACGGCTCAACATTTTAGAATATTTGGAAGAACATAAAGAAAATTCGAGGAGGAATTTTTGGGGGGAGGGAGAGGGGGCCGAAGAGTTTGAACATTGGCTTAGCATTTCTTATGTGTCCTTTCTATCACAAACCTCATCCTGGGTGATGTCGTTCACCGGTTGCCCCAGCCACTCCGGTCGGTGAGTAACCAATTTTAGTATTTTTAATTACTATTCTGTTGCGTGGTATTGAAATTCATAGTAAAATTGTTTTATTGAAAATTAGTATCTTTTGTTTTCCGTACGATTTACAAAATTTGGAGTGAAAATATGTATCGTAATACATAGAGGATTAGCTTTTTTGTTAATTTTTTCCATTTTTTTTCTTATTGAACTTGTTTAAACTTTAATTTGCTCGCTGGAAATGAGTACGGAAGCATTAGAAGAAACAGTTATTCTGATGCTAATTTTGCAACAGTTGCAAAATACTGTACAACACGCAAAAACGAGTAATTTTCATTTTTTTCATCTAAATGTATTTTTAAGTTTCTCTTTGATGTTTAAAGTTATCCTTAAAGAGGCAAATGAGATATATCTAACTCGATTACTACGCAAAATTCATTGATAATTTTTTTTCCAGAAGTTTTTCTGAAGTTTCTCCTCTAAATATGATTTTTTTCGAAACAACGGTTTTATACATTCATGGCTTAGTAAAGTTTGATGATACATTCTCTTTTACTGCATATAAAGGTTTTTTCAGAAATTTTAACGTGCTACCGTTCCAATGTGACTTCATAAAACTAATATTTTCGTTTTTAAAATAATACTTAATAATAACTGCAATATCAGTTATAATAATAAAAAAATAATTTTCCTACACTAAAAATAGCAAACATTATTTCTACATTTTATTTATTCCCCAAAAGGATAATATGTTATTATTCCATTAAAAGAACGAGGCGGCCGTATAAAGAAATTTCAAACTGATAGAGAAATGCGATATCATATCTTTACAGTTATAAGTGAACCTATATTAGTATAAATTTTATGAAACGAACTTCTCCCTTTAATGTTTTTAACAAAAGCTTTGGAAATGCAAATAAACTTTGTACAAAATGCTAGCAGAGGTAATTTATTTAACATGAAGAAAGACATATTAATTACATTTCTCAACTAAGAGAGATCAAAGTCCATTCTGTGCTTTAAATGACAAATGATAAAAGAGTAGACATTCGTTTAATCACTTGTACCGTATATTCTTATCGCAGGTAATATATAACGATGATTTATTACTTAAATTAAGCACAAAGAAACGGACCTTGCCTTGTTTTCATAACTTATTTGCAATCTGTTCAGTAAGTCTGTTTTAAATTCAGTAATCAAGAGTGGAAGTAAAGGAGTGGAAGCCAAAGAAATGAAAATAAAAGTTTAACACTATGAATACGTATTTGATTGAATGTGTCATAACGCTGCTGCTTAAAATGTGGTACTAGTTTTCTAACTTACTGTAAACATAGAAAACCAGGAGCAGTATGGATATTCAAATGCAGATTTAAGAAAGATAAAGAAAATTTGGCATTGTGAATGTTAAATTTTGGTCTTAGTATCGTTAGAGGTGACAATTCAACTACAGTAATATACTGACTATCTGGTCAAATATAAATTGCGTTTCACCTGTCAACAATACACGTTTAAAGCTAGAAATTAAATGTGTGGTTTGGACTTCATTGTTGTTTTACTTTATTATATATCGAGTGCCGTGATATACTAGCTTCTAAAGTCACTTTTTTATAAATTGTTTTTCCTCAGTTGTTTTTAATCAGACATGTTGCGGACACGATAAGTGATCGGTTTAGAGTCTAAAGAATTATTTCAGTTAGTGCTATTCCATAAAAGTTCATTTAATTAAGAAATGTTCTTGAATTACCCCATAAGAGCGCAACAGGTTATCAAAGATGCTGTTTCGTTTTAAATTACATTTCTAATTCATACCTTCCTAGTACGGCGTATTTTGCCTTATTAATTTTAACTTGAACTGTGTTATTCAGTTTTAGAGATAAAGAAGTGGCCTTCAAAACGATTATGAGATTAAAATGCAATAATTATTAATAATTTCTCTCATGTTTTTTCTTTCGCATTTAGTCAATGCCCCAAGATATCGTGATTTTTGTTTATAAATGTCTAATAATAAAACATTAATAATATTTTTATATATTTCCTCTTAAAACCATTAATTACACACTACAAAACACCGTGCATATACGACAATTAGGCTTCAGCTATTTAATTGTGAAAGTTTAATTTTGCTTACTTTTCCCTCCACGCCTATCTATATATATATATATATATATATATATATATATATATATATATATTGTATGATCTTAAATTCTCTTAGTTCGAAAACAAGTTTTCTATACTTTGCGCAATAGTCGTAAAGTAAGATAATAATATTTATTTACTAAAAAAGAAATATTGATTATATTATCTCCTAATATAAATTTAGTAGAAGTATCAAAAAAGAGTGAACCCATATGTAGGAAGTTTAATTCCGAAAATTGTGTTTTAAAGTAACTTGAATGTAAATTATTGAAAATGTTTTACGGGGACTTGAATTAACAAAATCTCAACCTTTGGAAAATAAATTAAATTAAAAGCAAGTAATTATCGCTATTGATCGGAAATTAGTTGACTTTTCAAGGGGAACTCTTTTCTGATACTTCTACTAAATTTATATTAGGAGAAAATATTTGTTTAGTAAATAAATTATTCTTCTCTGCTTCCCGAGTTCACGTCATTGAATGAATGTTGAAAGTGATCGTAAGAACACTTGCTAAATTTCCATCATGATTCACCCTGTACTATTGGGACTTCCCATGTACGTAAACTTACTTGTATGCTGTTAAATATTTCATCTTTTAACTTCTTGCAAATATAACCATTAGGTTGTTGAACAGAAGTTGAGGAACTGGCAGCTTCTTGTTTAAGTTGTTTAAATATAACTTTTATTTTTAAACCACCTTTACACTTGCTTAAGGAATTATAACTATAGTATGCATATTGCAATCCTGAATTCCTTGTTGAAATCTATATATATAAAATAACACTGTAGAGACATTATGTTCATTTCGGAAGCAGGCAAGATGAAAAATGAGCAACCGCCTTCGCCTGGAATCGAACCACGGACCTCTGGAATACCGGCCCAGCGTGCAGAACCACTACACCACGAAGGCACGCTAGGAAGGCGGGAGAAATACTTTATCTACTCCCTATTTTAAAGGGCGACTAGGGTTTTTAGTGGACCCAATCGCCAAATCGTGGGTGTGGAGATTCATCGTCCACGACCCTTTTAGTTCGGGCGTCACTGTAGAGACATTAGGTTAATTTTGGAAGCTGGAGAGATGAAACATTAGCAACCGCCTTCGCCGGGAGGAATCGAGCCACGGACCTCTGGAATACCGGCCCAGCGTGCAGAACCACTTCACCACGAAGGCGGGAGAAATACCTTATAACATAAAATGCAGATTTTGCAAAATGGGTATTCCAGCTTTACCGCAATGTTGGTTATTCTTGAATTTATTTGTTTTTGCATCCTTTTAGAAATTCTTAACCTGAAACTTTTATGTTCTTAACAATTCACTTATATTTCATAATCTTTGCCACAAAATCTAAATGAGATTTTTATTGTCCTTCTTTCTTCCGAACACCGAAAATTGCCTACGAATTTTTTTCATTGCCTGAAAAATGCACTACTTGTTTTGCAGTACAGCTAGCTTGACAGTTACAGTATCTCTTTATTTTATTTTCTCTCCTCATCTCTTGGCTTTGGGGATCGTCCCTAGATAATTTGAACGGAAAAACTCTGGGAAGGTAATATAGGGCCAAATTAAGAGATTCGGGAGCAAACTGACATAGAGTCTTTATCAGGTTAAAAAGGCCATGTCCTTCGAAAAGCGAAATGGGGCAAAGCGAGCATTCATAAAGCGAGGGATCTAATTCTTCGCTTTCTTTAACGAATCCACGAATTTTTTATCATACTGTCCTTTCATATTCACATTTCTATTGAAATTAATAGAAGTTAAGTAGCTTGCAAATGGCCTTTTTTTTACTATTGTGTGCATTTATTTTTAATCTTACTTTTTTTTATAAGTATTTGTATTAGATGTACAGGGAAAAAAATAACAGACACTAAGAATTTGGTGTCTTTTGGAATTTACAGTGTCTTTATATATCTTTCTGTTTCGTGTAGTTTTCGGAGACATGATAAGTAGCATCAGATTTTGGGTACGACCTTTTACACACTATTTTTGAGAGTAATTTCCGAAGCCTTGCTATATCATGTTCCTTCCGAGTATTTCTTAACACTAGCATTTAGCACCTATTTCCCACTAAATAGGACATATATTTATCCATTTTACTATTACTCCCATTGCAATTTTTCTGTTACTGATTAGAAGGAGATTCTGTAAGGTCATTACAGACGCTACTTAACGATTTATATAACATAGAGGGATAACATTGTAAAAAGTGACCATTTCTTATCAGGTTCGTCATATTTACTTGTCATCTGTGTTACGCATCCAGCTGATGTTCAATTGAATGTTGAAATCACAGTCAATATGATTATATCTGAGTGCCCACTAGGTTCTTTGAACTTATTCTACCCATTCAACCCGTCATATTTGATATGCATTTCTTGTTGTGTGTAGTAAAAGGCAAACCGAATCGCAAATTGTGGGCTTGTTTATAAGTGATCACTCGCTTCAACCTATCTGGCATATCAAATTAAATAATTTCGAGATCATAGAATGGTAAACGTTTCACCGCATTTCTTCTTCAGAAGAGATGGAGTGTGTAATTTTATTTGAGACGTAGTAAATGTTATGCATGGTTAAACATCAGAACAATACATTTCACATCATCGACACATAATTATACACCCAATATATGTTGCTTCTTTAATAAATCACCATTGTTTTAGATAACTCATATTCAAATTTTTGTTTGAGGATGGTGAAATATTGATAAGGATATTTCATTTCAGTCTAGTTCTATTACTCAGAATTCTAGATATTAAACAAATTTTGTTGAACCTATGTAAAACAACTACACTTAATGCCAACTTATAATGAATATTCTTCAGCGCATCGTAGACTAGTAATAAGGTAGTTAAAGAATGCAGTGTATGTCGAAAACAGCTA